TATTTATTTTTATTTATTTTTATTTATTTTTATTTATTTTTATTTATTTTTATTTATTTTTATTTATTTTTATTTATTTTTATTTATTTTTATTTATTTTTATTTATTTTTATTTATTTTTATTTATTTTTATTTATTTTTATTTATTTTTATTTATTTTTATTTATTTTTATTTATTTTTATTTATTTTTATTTATTTTTATTTATTTATATTTATTTTTATTTATTTTTATTTATTTTTATTTATTTTTATTTATTTTTATTTATTTTTATTTATTTTTATTTATTTTTATTTATTTTTATTTATTTTTATTTATTTTTATTTATTTTTATTTATTTTTATTTATTTTTATTTATTTTTATTTATTTTTATTTATTTTTATTTATTTTTATTTATTTTTATTTATTTTTATTTATTTTTATTTATTTTTATTTATTTTTATTTATTTTTATTTATTTTTATTTATTTTTCTTTATTTTTATTTATTTTTATTTATATTTTTTTAAATTTAATTTTATATATTTTTGTGTATTTTTATTTCTTTCTCCATAAAAAATGTTACTCCCTGTTTCTCCACCCTTAAAATATGAAAATCCAATTATCCGAAAATATATCATTATTTATTTATGATGAGTAGCTGCAATTTATACCTTTGGAAAACCGATACTCCCATAAAAACTTTCACCCCACCCCCCGTTTCTCACCCTTTAAATGTGAAAATATAAAAAATATTTAAGATGAGTAGCTACACTTCCAATTTTCAAGTTCCTATATTTAAGAAACCAATACCCCATACTAAACTTTACCATCGTTCCCTCATCTTTAAAATGTGAAAATCCAAACACCCGGAAGCAAGTCATTATTTATGTATGATGAGTAGCTACAATTCCAATTTTTAAGTTGCTATCTTTAAAAAACCAATATTTAATAAAAACTTTAAACTTCCATTTCCCCTCCTTAAAATGTGAAAATCCTAAACACTTAAACAATTCATTACCTATTTATTTATGATGTGTAGCTATATTTCCAATTTTTAAATTCCTACCTTTAAAAAATCGATACTCGCATACAAACTTTCATCCCCTGTTCCCACTTGTTTCCCGCCTTAAAATATGAAAATTCAAAAACGATAACCTAAAAAAAATTATTTTTCTATACAAGCGTTCACTTCCCCGTTTCCTCCCCTTTAAATTTATTATTTATTTACGCTGTAGCTGTATTTCAAATTTTTATGTGTCTAACTTCAAACAATTAAAATTTTTGAAAATTCTTTTTTGCATACGTTATAAAAAAAACCTGTCTTATTAATTTTAGCTTCCTAGACTTAGAAGTTTTGGCGGTAAGATTGATGAGTCAGTCAGTCAATCAGAACAAATAATTTTATATATTTAGACTATTCTTATGGTTGGTTTCGAAATAAATTGGTCTTTAATACAAAGCCTTCCTGAATTATAAAAAATATTGGCAACACTGTTGGACGTAAATTAATATGTTAAATGAAACAAAAATATTATTTTGGACGTAAAATAGTAATATACGGATGCAAGATAGATATTAATATAAAAGGAGTCAAAGAGGTCGGAAAATAAAAAAAAAAACGTATATAATTTTTTAACGATATGGTCATAAAAAACATATTTTGAGACAATTAATTTTTAGTAGTTTCAATATACTCGATGAAATCTATTCTAAACACACTGTTTCCAGAGACGCAAAATGTATGGGTTATGAAAGGACGCAATATTGCTGCGGGATGTAAATATATATATATATATATATATATATATATATATATATATATATATATATATATATATATATATATATATATATGTATATATAATGTCTTTTAAAATACTGGGCGGGACTTTCTAAGAGGAATTCGAGCGATTTTATTGGGACGAAATATTAATTTAACCTTGTCTTTAATGATCCTACTGTTTGAATTAACATAATAGACGTTCGTTATTCTTGCATAAATATAGATCTTTAGGAAGTCGAGCGATTATTGATTATTTTTCTGTATTTCTGGACTTACACGGAGAAGAACGTGAGTTATCCCTTCTGAATACATTTTCAGTAATTCTGTATAAAAATAATATCTTTTAACTTACCGCACGGTATTTTATAAGAGAGGAAATTGAGCAATTTCATTGAGACAAAATACTCTTAACTTTTGTCTTTTTCTGATCCTACTGTTTGCATTAAGTAGAATAGATATTCGTTATTCTTGTATAGGTAGAGATCTTTATAGGAAGTCGAGCGATTCTCGATGATTTTTATATTTCTCTGGATGTATACAGGGATGAACGTGCGTTATCCTTTCTAAATAAAAGTGGTTTTAAAATAAAAAAAAAACGTGCGATTTTTTTTTAGTGTTATATAAAAATAATATACAGTAGGGTCTTCCCTCTTAAAGTTTTGAGCGGTACTTAAAAGCCATCGAGCGATTTGCCATTTTATTAAAACGAATAAATATTATATTGTCTTTGATGATCCTACTGTTTGAAGTAAGCAGAATGTAGATGTAAAAAAACATTAAGCGATTCTTGATGAGTCTTATGGTTTTCTGGATTTCAATGTAAACTATAATAAAATTAAAAAATACAACCAAATTGCAACAGTACAGAAGGAAATACTCTTTATAAAGAAATCGTTGTCCATTGGAATTAATTTATAAAAGAGTATAGCCAGGAATCAGCGGAAAATCTTTTCAATAATTTCAATATTTCAGCTAACTGAAAAACTCTAAAATGAAATTCAAGCCTGCTTGCCCAAACCAGTGCATGCTGGGCTATCAGCAGTGTAAGTGGTTAGTAAAAAAACTGTCTATTCCTGAATATTTAGAAAATCACAAAATTTTAGCAAAAGCCTGTCAATCCTGCTACAAGTTACGATTTTACTCTTACAAAATCTCTCGAAATAATAAAATATATTTCGCTTTAAGGAGATTACCTTAATTATCTTAGAAAAATTCTTCCCGAATTTATTATTACAAGAATGGTGGCAGAAAATGTTGGATTAAGTCAAGCTATAAGATCTAAGCTGTTCCCGAGAGATGTATTTTCATATGCTTCACATACTGGTTGCTGTGCCTTTTGTATGGTTTTAAATACCATGAGTGTTGGGACAACCAAGAATTAAAACTGAACATTAACTTTTTAAAAATTAAGGCAGTATTTTATGCTTTAAAATCACACAGAATCTGGATGAATTTACGTTATATTGGACAATGGTCAAGATATTACTTTTATGCTTTTTCTGCATTTTTGCCATTAGCAAGTTCAAACCAGAAAAAAAAATTGCGTATCTCTCCGTTTAGCCACAAGATTTCTGATGGTGAAATACATTGTAAAAGGTAAAATAAATCTAATACTTAATACTTAAATAATGTATTGAATATAATAAAATAATATTCGTTCTGAAATTGGCTAATTGAACACCCATTGATATCTTAATTGCATTGATTAGCCAGTCGCATTAGTATAAATTATATATAATAAATTTAAGGTCTCTTAGGTGTCCTAAAACAATATGTGGCTGGTTTTATGAAATATTGGAAAGTATACGCAACAAAGCCCTTTTGTATATAATTTACAAACATAATTCTATTTTTTCTTAAAGAGTTTAAACAATGAAAATTCGTTTTCAGTTTTGAAATAATATAGGTCGGCGTTAAATTTAAAATTTAACCTACTATATTCCAGTAATGAAAACCTAAATTTTTGAAGGGGGTTTAAAGAAACCTTAAAAAATTAGACATCTAGAGACAACGTTTCGATGAGTTGATGCATAAACTTCTTATTCTTATGGCTTTAATTAACATCAGTCATTAGAGTACAGAATCTTCCTTGATTAAACTCCAATATATCGTTAAAAAGAATAGAAATTAAAATCTCTGATAGAATAAAATGGGACATATTATCAAGGAAACCCAATCGTCTCGTAATTAGGAGCAACATCTCATATTGACGCATCAACATCTGCTGCGTTTAGGGTACGTATAAGTATTGAACAGATAAGGACAACTTCTGCTAAAACAATTATTAAATTTTGTAATAAAACTATAAAAGAACGCAATGACATATTTGCTAACACTATTATTAATTTGGAAATTATAAATTATTTGACCTATTCTTCAATTGTGATCATACAATAATTTTATTATTCTCATTCACTTTTTAACTAAAAAGAAGTTACAAAATTACAAATACAATTATGTATTTGTTTATTTAATTACGTTTATAATATTAATATAAATAACTACTTAGAAAATCACATTTTCTTACTATAAACAAACATCTACAATGTATTAATTAACGGTAATACTGTAAGTTTTGCGGATGATACAGCCATTTTCTATGAAGGAAATAACTGACAGGAATTAAAAAGCACAGTTTAGAATGACTTTACTACTATCGCTAATTTTTTTGAGAGCAGATTACTAACAATTAATTTAAAAAAACTTTCCTTGTCCCTTTTACATCATATAGCAATTACTTACCGCCTTTTAAAGAAATTAATATAAAAATCGAAAATGAAACTATTATTATAAAATCTACAAATAAATAAAGTATTTGTGAATATATATTGAATCACATCTGCGATGGGAAGAACAGATTAACTATATTATAAAAAAGCTAAGATTTGTCTTATATAAATTTAGAAACCTTTCCACTTTCCTCCATGTGAGGTATTTAAAAATTCTTTACTATGCATTAGATGAAAGTCATTTCTCATACGGTATAATAGAATGGGGTGTAGCAGGTGCTACTTTAATTAATAACTTACAGAAAATACAAAAAGGTATATTATAAACATATTTCACCGACCTAGAACTCACCCAACAATAGATCTTTATCAAGAAGCTGGAGCATCAGATATTTATCAGTTATTTGCAAAAATGATTATTACAAAACAACGATAAGACAAACACACTTTACTATCAGTAAGGCATGACCACGCAACTCGAAATAAATTAAATAACCCAGGCAGCACACATTAGTATAACTAACGTATTTTATACACAATACTCGTTTAATTTTGGTATTGGTTGATTCCGTATACGTTTACAGTTAACGATTATTATACATGCCGTATAAAGTTCTTGTAAAATTGTTGGTGTTGTTGTTGTGCCCAGTTAGATTGCATGTTGCTTTGGCGTCCTGGCTTTTACGATATTGGTTAAAAGCATATAGGTAAGTTTCTATTAATGTTTTAATTCAGCTACTCGTTTAATAATTGTTGCATTTTATTACCTATTTTTTTTGGCTACCTAGTTATTCCAAGCATACTTATTTTCCTTTTTTTTTTGGTCAGTTGTTTTTTATTTAATAAAATGTCTAAAATAACCCTGTCTCGGCGTCATCTACTAAGAAAAATAGCACAAAATGTTCAAGATGCTTATAGTCAAATCAATTTTTTTTATTCCCAATGAAGAAAACATTAATAAGGCTTCGGACATTAATATATCATCTGATTCTATTATTTATAATAATTTCCTAGAAAATAATATAAATTTAACTTTGGAGCTTTTAGGAAATATTTCAGTTATATTTTGGTTCTAGGAATGGGGGTGAATCAAGAGACTTAACCGACCGAACGATTAGAAGTGCTATGTAAGATTGGCTTAAGTTACCTAAGGACACAACACATCCAAAGTGTTAAGCTAAGATTTTAATTTTCATATATATTTTTTGTAAGTTAAAGAAAAGTTTCGTTTAGTTTGTTATTCAGTATTTTACTGTTTATTTTTTAGAACTTATTAATTTTTTAGTATTTTATTGTTTATTTTTTTTAATAAAACATTGTTCTGTACATATAACAAGTGATCAAAAAATTTTTCTAAATATTTAGGCTAATTGCAACCAAAATAGCAACACGAGTAATACCTATTTATAGTGTATACACTCCTGCTATGGATGAAATCCAAACTGTCATTTAAGAAATATTAACATTTTTCCCTGGCCTCTTTTAGAAATTTTGTTTTGATCACTTTATTTAATTTGTGTTTGAAATACATTTAAAACAATATCAGGTAGACGCATTTTACATATTAATAAAATAAGATAAATCTAATATAGACGTATAGTAAAACAAGATAATAAAATGTAGATAAAGTAGTAATGTTAGACGTATAAAACATAAAAAAAATATACGTTTATAGGGCGGACATTTTCACGTATATATTGGGTAGCATATCAACGGTATCCATACGTATATTGTAGTACATAAAAAAACGTCTTTTATACCAAAGTGGATTCGTATAAATATACAACTATAAATTTAATATAGACGTATAGTAAAAACGTTTAATTATAGGTGGATAAATTCTTAGTAATCGACGTTTATAAGGCGGACATTTTCACGAATATATCTGGTAGTACATCAACCGTATTCATACGTATGGTAGTACCTAAAAAAAAAACGTAATTTATACCAAAGTGTGCTGCCTGGGAATGTTGTAATATCTAAAGCCAAAAAAACTATAGGACAAAAAGTTATCTTACCTGAGTCCTAAATTATATAATAAAATACCGTTAGAATTAAAGAGCATTTATTCCCTAAATCTATTCAAAGTAAAAATAAAAAAAATGGATATATTCCATCCCTACTGCAAACCTGCAACGTTTTATTTCAACAAATAACGAATGCTACTAGTTTAATTTAATAATTTGTCTAAAAAAAAAATAGTTAATAAAATGTAAATATTAATATTAAATTAGGCTTAGTATTACGTAACTGTTTTTCATATTATTCCAAATATTTTTTTTACATAATTTTTCATTTTTTTATAATATTGTAATAAATAATAAATAAATAACCAATAATAACCCGTGCTCAACGATTCTTTTTGTAGGTGTTTCTGTTTATTTATCTCGAACGAACTTACATTGGTATACATTATACATTGTTTCTATATTATTTTTGGTAAATAAATTATTATTATTATTATTATTATTATTATTATTATTATTATTATTATTATTATTATTATTATTATTATTATTATTATTATTATTATTATTATTATTATTATTATTATTATTATTATTATTATTATTATTATTATTATTATTATTATTATTATTATTATTATTATTATTATTATTATTATTATTATTATTATTATTATTATTATTATTATTATTATTATTATTATTATTATTATTATTATTATTATTATTATTATTATTATTATTATTATTATTATTATTATTATTATTATTATTATTATTATTATTATTATTATTATTATTATTATTATTATTATTATTATTATTATTATTATTATTATTTTTTTTTTTTTTTCTCCTTCTCAGGGTTGTTGATAAATTGGGATTCTTACGGAATCAGTCAATTAATCAGGCTTTAAATTTTTTCAAGTGTGAGTTGTGCGACTTTTATTCATTGGCAGGTAAGTTCAGAGTTTTTCTCACAATACGACAAGTTTCTAGTAAAACTGACTTTTGCATTGTTGTGAAGATATTTTTGTCAGTGATGTTTATTTGTTTTAGGTACGACTCCAACTTCTTCGAAACCAGACCAGTAGCTGAAATTACTATGGGAATTATGGTAATACTTTTTAGTTTATGTATACTTTTATATTCTTCGGCCAATTCGAAGTATTTATTATTTTTTTCCTTTTCTGCTTTTTCTAGATTATGATCGTTGGGGTGCGTGATGTCGATGAAGAAGCCCACTTTCTCCTTTTTTCTTACAAAGACGATGTCAGGTCTATTGCTGGATACTGGTTTGTCGGTCTGTATTGGCGTATCCCAGTACAGAAGGTATGTATCACTTTCTAGGACCGGGAATGGAACATACTTAAAATATTGTACAGCTTTTTCTTGAAAATTGCACATAACTGCCAGATGCTGATGAACTATGTTGGCCGTTAAGTTATGACGCTTTAGGTATTCAGTAGGCGCTAATACCGTGCATCCCGATACTATGTGCTCTATTGTTTCTGAGTGGCGACGACACATTCTGCACAAGTCGTTATCGAGTCGAACTCCGTGGATAATTTGGATATGATTTCGTGTTGCGATAACGTTGTCTTGAATCGCCACCAAAAATCCCTCAGTTTCCCCGAACAAGTATCCCTTTCTCAACCATTCAGTTGAGAGTTCAATTTTTGATTGCAGAAGTTGATTGGGATACTTTCCATGAAGGGGCTTCGACAGCCATTCACTTTTTCGTATGTTGAGATCAGGAAGTGCTGAGCTTTCTTCTTTGAGTTTAACTGGAGAGTAGTTATCCAGCTGAGTTACGACTCGGTGAAGTGTAGAAGTTAAGGATTTATCTCGAAAGTATTTTTTTTGTTTATTTATTTGCTTTTGATAAAGTAACTTTATATCTAATAGTCCCCGGCCTCCCATTTTCCGTGGAATATAGAGCCTTTCTGTACAAGCTTTTGGATGGTGAATTAAATATTTTGTCATTTGTACACGGATCGATCGATTAAGAGCCTCTAACTCCGTGTTTGACCACCCGATCACGCCAAAGGAATATGACATTGTAGGAATTGCCCATGCATTAATTGCCCTAATTTTGTTTTTTGCTGTTAATTCAGTACGCAGTATTTGTTTCGTTCTTTTTTCGAGTGTTTCTGTAAGATGTTTTTTGGTCTCTTTCTTATTGATTACAAGTTGTTGCTCGTACCCCAGGTATTTATAACTCTCGCTATTTAGGTATTTAATGTTCTCGATTTCGATGTTTTCGTACTCTCTAGGCTTTCCACGGTGTGCTACTAATTTCGCGCATTTATCAAAGCCAAATTTCATTTTAATGTCACCGCTAAAGTTTTTGGTTAACTCAATTAGTCTATCTAGATCTTTTTCAGAGGAGGCGTATAATTTTAAATCAATTATTATTATTATTATTATTATTATTATTATTATTATTATTATTATTATTATTATTATTATTATTATTATTATTATTATTATTATTATTATTATTATTATTATTATTATTATTATTTATTATTATTATTATTATTATTATTATTATTATTATTATTATTATTATTATTATTATTATTATTTTTGTTGTTATTATTATTATTATTATTATTATTATTATTATTATTATTATTATTATTATTATTATTATTATTATTATTATTATTATTATTATTATTATTATTATTATTATTATTATTATTATTATTATTATTATTATTATTATTATTATTATTATTATTAATATTATTATTATTATTATTTTTGTTGTTATTATTATTATTATTATTATTATTATTATTATTATTATTATTATTATTATTATTATTATTAATATTATTATTATTATTATTATTATTATTATTATTATTATTATTATTATTATTATTATTATTATTATTATTATTATTATTATTATTATTATTATTATTATTATTATTATTTTTGTTGTTATTATTATTATTATTACTATTATTATTATTATTATTATTTTTGTTGTTATTATTATTATTATTATTATTATTATTATTATTATTATTACTATTATTATTATTATTATTATTATTTTTGTTGTTATTATTATTATTATTATTATTATTATTATTATTATTATTATTATTATTATTATTATTATTATTATTATTATTATTATTATTATTATTATTATTATTATTATTATTATTATTATTATTATTATTATTATTATTATTATTATTATTATTATTATTATTATTATTATTATTATTATTATTATTATTATTATTATTATTATTATTATTATTATTATTATTATTATTATTATTACACGGAGTTACTGAAAAATAAATTAGAGTTTTATGGAATTAGGGACAAAACATTAGACCTGTTATCCTCATATTTAACTAATCGACAGCAATTTGTTAGCTATGATAACATCAGTTCCTCATTAGCACCGGTAACTAGAGGAGTGCCACAGGGCTCCGTATTGGGTCCTATCTTGTTTCTCATTTACATTAATGATTTGCCATATAATTTAGAACATTGTTCTACCATTATGTTTGCTGATGACACTACGATCCTAAATAGGGACATATTGGTGTCAAGTGATTTGTGTATGTCATCAGCGGAAGAGTGGTTTGCTACAAACCATTTAAAACTAAATGAAGAAAAAACGCAAAAAATGACTTTTACATCAAATAAAAACACCCACAAGATGGAACCAATCAAATCACTTGGTATTATTCTAGACGCAAACCTTAATTGGGGCCCTCATATCGATGCTACTACCGCAAAAATTTCGTCGCAAATATTTGCGTTAAGACAAATGCGACAGAGTCTTGATAAAACTGTATTAAAAATGGTTTACTATGCCCTAGTACATAGTCATTTGTCTTACGGGATTTTGTTATGGGGAAATAGCTGTAAGGCTAATAAATTATTTTTTCTTCAAAAAGCAGCTATCCGACTGATAGCAGATGTCGAATATAGGGAACCCTGTCACGACCTATTCAAAAGATATGAGATTCTGCCACTCCCATGTATCTACATATTAGAAACATTAAAAGAAATTCATCACAATATTAACAAATTTGAGACACATGCAGTGACTCACAATCACGACACGAGGAATGCGGAGAATCTCATACTGCCACGATCTAGAATACGTATTAGCCAAAACAATAAACTTAATGTAAACATTTATAATGTATTTGAAAATTGTTATAAGACTAAAAAAATTAAATTTATGTCACAA